AAAAAAAAAAAAAAAAAAAAACAACAACAACAACAAAAATATAGCAGGTGAGAAGGAACACTATTCCATGCTGAGGGATTAGTCTATACCAAGACATTGTAAAAAATTATAACTTTTATAAAAGGCTGCAAAAAAACTTACTGTAGAGTTCAAAAATAGAAATCTCAGAAAAAAGAACAGAAATCTCAAAGATAATATAAAAATGTATAGTAAAGCAACATGCAAAATCTTTGGATAGTCACAGAGGATGAGTATGATACTAACCTTAAAAGATAAATTCATTAAGTGGGCAACAAAATTTTCATTTGATAAAAACAATCAATAAATCATTCCAGAAAAGCATTAAGTACATCACTGAGTTTCAGGTGACACAGATCCTATCAACGTGTGGACCAAGGAGGGGGACATGGCCATTACCCAGAAAGCAGATGGTGTCTTCATTTTCTTAGTTTATCAATAATTCCATTATTTTTATGGGTCACTCCCAGAAAGTCAGGATCCCTCCAAAAACACTCCCAATGGAGAAAAGCCAAAAATGAAAGTTCAATTTTATAATCAGGACTTTTCCCCTAAAAAGTTTTATGAATCAGTGCAAAGGACCATAGAGCCTAACCAGAGGCAAAACCAAAACCGATCTGGCCAGCTGACCTCTCCCACCAGCTGGCCATACACACCGTGAAATGGGGCAGCAACACACTCCCAGGTCTCTTAATAACTTATGCAGGGCTAAGCAAGAAGTTTTTAGAGACAGTTTTCTTTATGACATGAAAGGCCACATGATACAGAATATATAAGGAATAAGGAAAAATGCTATTTATATTTAGTTAGCAAATTCTGAACTAAAATTGTCAAACACTGAACCTGATATCCTCCTAGAGAAGAGAAAAAAAACATAAACTCGAGTTGTGATTTCAAATCTCAGCTTGCTATGGTCTTGAGGAGTCGGAGAACATCTGAGTCACAGTTGCTTTTTCTGCAAAGCTGAGATGGTGCTACTTAATAGAATTGTGTGATGTTTAAAGAAATAAATACACATAAAGTTGTGAACAAAACACGGTATATAAAAATCTCTAAGTAATTGTAAATTTGGGGTTTCAGATTAATTTCTATGAAGAAAAGGCAAGTAGGGCAATTTTTCTTATAAATATTGACTGAAAATCTCCAATAGAAATCATACTGTCTATATTAATTTCCACTCAAAAAGCTAAAAATCATATATTCTATTTTTCAGTTGTGTAATTAAAAACAAACCAGCATAGCATTTGACTTGGAAGTTGTCAAAAGCACCACCTGTCTTGTTTTCTTACAGCTGTCAGAAGCAGATTTTAGATCCACCTCCAAAATTTTTACTCCAACTAACACCAGCCTGTGTCTATATTCAAAATGCATTAGTTTTAAATGATTCCTTTATCGTAAGACAGAAAATGAAAAAGTGTGTGAGTGTGTGTTTACACAGAATTTGCTACCATAGTCACATAATAACAATTATGTTTTAGGTACAGCACATAGGTTTTTAGATAAGGAATGGAACAAAGTATTTATTCTAATATAAAGATATAATTCAGAACTTGGAGAAAAATAGGGAGGAGTTTATTAAAAGAATCAGATGCAAACATTGAACTGCTTTATTGTTAAATTTGATAGACTTATAGCATGTGGAATTTCTATCTCTATCTTGGGGTACCGATCAAGAAGAAAACAGGTATTTTATCAAAACATTTATGTCTTATGCTGCATATAAATTTTGTTTACATACTCTGGTTTAAAAGGAAAAATGATCTCTGCTTGTAAATATCATAAAGGAAAAATGTGTCAGTCATCCCTCGAAGTTTAAATATTAATTGGCATATTTTAAGTTTACCATGGTCTTCATCCTTGCAAACCTTGTCATTTTTGCTAGATACGGGATCAGCCTTCATGTTACATGGCTCTGGCTATTTATAGAAGTGTGGCTGACAGCTGTTAACCAGTGGAACCTTTGGAACAGCAGAGAACAATTTCCAAAGGCAAAATTTAAAAAAACATTCTTCTCGCCCCCCCCCACCCCAACACTCGAAACTGGCAGCCTCTCAGCTCCCAAGTCCACTTCCCAGACTGAGTAAAACAGTGACCTGCAGACCACATTTTAAAAGGGTGCATTGCCAGTTCACGGGCTGTCAAGGTACCCCACCTCCCACCATGGGGGTCAACTGGAAAGTGGTAGTAGTACCTTCGGCAGTGATCTCAGTCATGGTGCTCGTAGAAAGTGAGTCAGGTGAAAACGTCCGTCAAGTGGCACTTTGCAGAATATTTTAGGGTTGGAGAACTCTGGTGGAGGGTTCTGTGTTAACACTAAGGGCTCTTCGTTTTCCCGGCTGTTTCTGCTGCTTCTTTGCTGTCCTGTTGAACTTCACCTCTTTCCTGCAGAGTTCTCCCCATGGAAACAACCTAAGCCCTTTCCCAACCAGCACTTGTGGCTCAGTGAGAAGTATCAGCTTCGAACAAAAATAGCCTCATCTCCCCAGGACTCTTCAGCACTTTTTTTTTTTTTTTTTTGGCACTCTAGAGGAACACACACACACACACACACACACACACACACACACGAGCTCCCCAGCCCCAAACAGTGATGCGGGGGGAAAAAAGCCAAAGGAACTACAAAGTAGTGTCTGAGACCCAGCAGTTTCTCTAAGATAATTACAGATCTTGGGGTCTGTGTCACAAAAACAGGAGATAAAGAGTTGAAAGTAATCCTACCCGTGATAGCTCAGATTTATTCTTAGTGTCCTTAATGCTCAGAGCATTCCTCTTGCCCTTATTTGGTTTGGGAGGGTCCTGAAATGCCTACCAGGGGTGAAGGGTGGGGAATCTTAAGTAATTTTCTCAAAGTTGATTTCCTATTGGTCCAAATCCATTTAACAAGTGAAGTTATTTATATAAGGCTACATTTTAAATTGCCGGTGGTAATACCTAAGCTTTCTCCCAAACTGGACGTGTGGGGGGAATTAACACTGAACACTGGTCAATAAGGAATACATAATGTGAACTTTAAATCTCATATTTGAGAACCAGTGATGTATCAATTTTTTTTTTTAATCTCTGGCTGAAAATAAAATATTTGAGTTTACGCAGTAATAGAAAAGGAAAGTGATATAAGCTTTTGAAATCCATAGCTAACATTTTAGTAAAAGATTGCAACTTCTCCCTATCTCAACATTAAAAAAAAAGGATCATAGCATGGCTAACAATTAGCCAAATTGACTGATTAGCATTTCACCTTCCCACTCCTTGGCAGGTGTTAATGAGCAGAGAAATATTCAATAGTTGGTGGATGGAAGGAGGAGGAGAATCAAAGGGCATTGATAATCACAAACTCTACCCGCCTGTGAATAGTCAAGGGTTGACTGTACTTATCTCTCATTTTCTTCTCATGTGCAATCTCCTAAGTGCTTGTAATTTCATGTTTTGGCCTTAACGGTAGCCTTTGGTTGTCAGAACCTCTTGAATTTGTATGATGTTTCCTAGAGCAGGAAGCAGAGCTAAATCTGTATTCTGAAAGGTGAGGTCCAGAGAGGGTCTCAACAGCTACTTGCAGCAACAATGACATCCTCTGTATTTGCTGCTGCAATTCCTGGAACAACAGAAAGTGATCATAAAACATCAGACATGAGTTATATAAATGAATGAATAAATACTCCTGATTCACAGAGGAGGAAATAATGTCAGGTAATTGCTAATGATTATTTAATTAGTGCGTGTTAGTTTTTTGTTTGTTTGTTTGTTTTCCTGTACTGGGAATTGAACTCACAACCTTGTGCTTGCCAGGAAGGTGCTGTGCCATTGAGCTAAATCCCTAGCGCCTCGTGCGTGTTAGTAATACTGAATAGTGGGGCTCTTGCTGGGGAGTTGGGATTTGCATATGGCACATCTTGGACATTTTCCATCCCTTGCCACATTCTCCCTAACTCCAAGAGCCCGGCTTCTCATTTCCCATCATCTCTCCTTACTGTATTCATTTACTCATTTCTATATGAGGTTTCTCCTAACCGGAAATGTGATGTTTAACTTTCTGAATCTGGCTTATTTGCCTTAACATGACGGTCTCCAGTTCCACCTATTTTCCTCCAAATGACACATTCCCATTCTCTGTGGCCCATTAATATTCTATTGTTTGTATATGTCACATTTTCTTTATCCATTCGTCTGTTGACAGCTATGTAGGTCATTTCCAAAGCTTAGCTGTTGTGAATTGTACCACTGTAAACAGGGGTGTGCTTATATCCCCACGCTGCCATATATGGACTGCTGTAATATACAGGTGTGGATCAAATGGTATCTCTCTTCTAATGTGAGGAATCTTCACACTGATGTCTGAATTCCCACCAACAGTGTAGGAGAGTTTTTTTCCTCTACATCCTCACCAGTATTCATTGTTTCTGGTAGTCTTAATGATAGCTATTCTGGCTGTGGTGAGATGGAATCCCAGTGTTGTTTTGATTGCATTTCCCTAATGTCTAAAGATGGTGAATATTTTTTCTTATGCCTATTGGTTGTTTGTGCTTCTGCTTTTGAGAAGTTTCTACTCTATTCATTTGCTCTTTTGTAAAGTTGCATTATTTGTTTGTGTTTGTGGGTTATATTTTGAGTTCTTTACACGTTCTGGATACTAACCCTTTATCAGAAGAGTAGCTAGCAAAGACTTCTTTCTGTTTCATTCTGCAAGTTGTCTTTTTATTGTGCTGGGTTTAGTTTTTCTATGTAGAAGTTTTTTTAATTTGATGTAATCTCATTTATTGATTTCTGATTTCATGTCCTGTGCTACTAGATTTAAAGATTCAAAGCAATTCTTATTAAAATATCAGCAACATTCTCCACAGAGCTAGAAAAACAATCCCAAATTTAATATGGAATTGGAAAAGATGAAGAACAGTCAAAACAATTATGAGCAAAAAATGAGCAAAGTTAGATGTACTACAACACCCAACTTCAAGTTAAACTACGAAGCCATGTGTGACAAAAAGGATATGATACTAGCACAAAAACAGCCTTGTAGACCAATGGATGAGAAAAAAAAGACACAGAAATCAACCCATGTCTTTAAGGCCACATGATTTTTTTTTTTTTTTTTTTTTTTTACAAAGGCCCAAAAATATACACTGAAGAAAAAAGCCTCATTAACAAATGCTGTTGGGGACACTGGAAGTCCACATACAGAAGATGCAACTAGATCCATCTTACCACACACTGAAATCAAATCAAACTGGACCAAAGGCCAAGATATAAAACCAGAGAGTTGAAACTGCTAGAAGACAACATGCGTGAAAGAGTGCCTGGGTAAGGCATAATTTTATGTTCGGTGTTCACCGAATGCTGGGCCTAGAGGCCGCAGACAACAGGCTGACAACTTCTTATCAGTGCAAATTATGCCCAGCAGCAGGGTGGGAGAGTACAGTCCTCCCAAGTGCTTCCTGTAGCACGGGGGTGGTCTGAAGGAGGTACCCTAAGCATACAGCTCCCCTGTATGGGTCCCCATAAACACATCCCTTCAATGCTTCCACAGTGCTTCTACCTGTAAGAAAATGTAACACTATATATCTCCATTCATCAGTTACTTCCATGGTATTTCACTGTAGCTAACCGAAGAAATAATATCATAGGTAACTCATTAAGAATTTCCATGGGTCAAGACCTTTAAGCCTATGTAAAATTATGTAGCGTAGGAACAGAACCTCAATTTCAAATTCTTATTCAACACAAAGTTAAAATGTGATTATAGGATAAGTATACTATACCAAATTATTAGTAGCTGATGAAGCTCATGATGACCTATGTTATGCTACACATACTAAAAGGAAAAGGAAAAGGAAAAATTATTCTAGTAAATAAACATAGTTCAAGATAGCAAATTTTTTAAACCCACTTCGGAGGTGAGTAAATGAGGATTTATAGACATTGAAATAGACAAATATGTAAAGAAACATATATTTCTTTTTCTGAAAAGTTGTTAGTACACTTCAAAATTCTTTGAAATCCTTGTTCTTGAGGCAAAGGGAAATCTGCGAAGCTCTCCAAAGCAAAGTAACTGATATTCTTCCAAGTGTGCACACCCATCTTTCAAGAAACTCGAAGAATAAAGTATTACAAACCTTGCATTTGCCACTCTATTTTTAACTGGAATTCATTTTAAATAAATATTACTGGTTCACTGGACTCTTCCGACATAGCCCCAGAGTAAAAGTCCTCTCTTCTCAGCAATGACTTTTTTATGTACTCTAACAGTTACTATTTCTGTGCCAGCATCACAGGTTGACTTTTCAAAGTTTTGCATTTGGGTCATTTATGAACTAAGATATTAGTAACTGACCTAGTACATTCATCAGCGATAAACTGTAAGTTTGTTTTCTGTCTTAATCACTTTCTCATTCCTGGGACAAAATACACAACACCCACAATTCTGAGGCAGAAAGGTTTATTCTGGATCACTGTTTCAGAAGTGTCAGTACGTGGTCCTCCAGCTCCAGGGCAGAAACAGCACAGCTGAAGGCCTGGATGAAGGAAAGCTATTTGCTGTATAGTGGCCAGAAAGCAAAGAAAAAAGAGCAGCTGGGGCTGGGGATTTAGCTCAGTGGCACAGCGCCTGCCTGGCAAGCACGAGGTCATGAGTTTGATTCCCAGTACCAGAAAAAAAAAAAAAGAAAGAAAGAAAGAAAAAAGAACAGCTGGGTGGAGATACACCAACCCCCATCACGCCCCAGTGACTGCCTCTTCTGAAAGATCCCACTACAACAGCACACATACTCCTAATCCCATGGTAGATGAATCCACCCAAGAGTGCAGTAGCCCCATGAGGGAGCTATCCCCCTAAATCCTCCTCTCCCCTGAGAGTTTTGGAGGACATCACAGGTCCAAACCTCCACCTTTTCCCTGTTAAACGTTGCATTTTACACCAACCTGATGAGACTGATATTATTCCTTGTGATTTTCACTCGTGATTCTAAATACTCACCTTAGTGAATTAAAAACATTCTTGCTTTAAGGAACAATTTCTTTTTTCACTTGGCTGTTCTGTCTGCTATTATCACAAACTAACAGTCAGTGACACATATGCTATATTTGGCTAGGAATATGATTTTCCCATTTATGTGAATTTCAAAATGTTAAAAGATTCAAGAGGCAACCAGAAGTTTTGATTTATTTGTTCCCCCAAGGTAACACACAGATCCATTTTAAGATCCTCACGTGTCGTCTTCAGTGTCAACTTGTTTACTCTACGGAGTGGTGAGAAAGATGTAATTGGGAATAAAAACCTGTTTACCATGAGTCTCCAATTTTCTCAAAGACTGGGGATAGTTAAGAGAAAATAGAGTTCTTTGGGGGTTATTTCTTCAGTCTTTCTGTATCTTAATCTATAGTCACAATTGGCTTATATACAGAAATTGACAATAATTAAAAATAATCTCTTTTAAATCTTTTTATAGTGTAGCACATTTGAACACAGTGCGAGGAAATTTGCCAAC